TGACAAGCGAATGAAACAGAGAAGAGAGGCGGAGTTTGTGAAGACGTTTTTCTGTGTATTGATCAAATGAGAAGCATACAATATATATATATGATCAGCTACTCTAACCTACTTTCCTTAGAGTAGAAGATACGAATTAAGTACTGTGATATATCACATGAGCAAAGAATTGGAAAGTATCAAATCATAGGAACTTTCCTAACATTACCACACCCTATTTTGTTTTCTCGAATTATAAGAAATGTCACTATAAAGTATATAGAACAAAAATATGTGATTTCAAGAACTAGAAATGGCAAGGTAGACCAATGTCATTAACATAGTTGTAACATTGGAATCTCGAAAGACAAACGGAAGAAGAGAGTTAATATAATGACATATGGTGAAATTGAAAATTTATTTGTTTCTTTTTTTTTTTACCAGAGGAAAATCAGCAAGGCTCGACGACATTATTGTATCCTTCAATCACTTTTTGCTTCCCGCCGAACCGAATACGTAACCAACGAAACAATTATTGGAATTAATGGCTTGACTTTATCTATCACAAAGTTGACGATGTAATGTTGATGTTTATTGGAATTGACTTCTAACGTCCATGTGTTAAGATCAGTGTTCTAAAAAGCGTTATAGGAGTTCGCCTAGGCGGCGTTAGGCCCCTATAGACCATGGCGATTACTGCTTTTGCCGTCTAAATATTATGGTATTATAATAATAAAATAATATAAATTTTTGCATATATAAATCGTAAAATGTTATATATTTGGCTATAAAATGATAAATATAAATATAATATAAATTTTGTTAGTTATAAATTATGGTTTTTTATATATTTTATCATATATATCTAAGGGACTTTTACCAAAAATGTCATTTGTCACAAAAAATCTTCGAAAAATGTCATTTCTTTTTTGACCTTCGAAAATCTGCCACAATTCACTATTCACATGATGTGAAGTAACTGTTATACCCCTGAGTAAGATTGATGGTATAGTTAGTGTTTATTGTCCACTACCATCGAATTTTGTCCATAAACCATCTATCACTATTTTCGTCCACAACCACCATCTTTCTTTCATCCACAACCATCCGTCACCCTATATGTTCTCCACTCACTATTTTCTTTGTTTTCGTCCCCTGCCTTCTCCATCACCAAGTCTGTTCACAGTCATTTTTGTCCACCACCGATGTTTTTGTCCACCACCACCGACACAGTTTTTCTTCACCGTCGTCGTCGCTGTCTTTGACCACCACCATTTCTGTT